TTAGGACAGATCCCAAAGTGCTAGATGGAGGGGCACTAGAGATAATTTCTAAGTTAGCCAAAGTAAATGAATGTTCACTCAAAACTGAATTAATAAGTTTTGCCAACTTATTTCCAAGTCTTACAGGATGTCTTTTTTGAAGATGAGACACAGAAAGTGGAAATAATTCTTGATGATGAGGAGGAGGAGGAGGAGGAGAGGGAGGAGGAGGAGGAGATTAATGACTATTTGAGCTACAAAAGGAATCAAAGTGCTGCATTTGTTAAAATACAACCTTTATTCTGCAGTTTATGAAAATGTTTCAATCACCTATGAGTACCTATTGACCCTTTCTTTTACACAAGTGTCATGTGAGAGAGCATTCAGCAAGCTTAAACTCATCAAGACCCGACAGCGAGTCACAATGGGACAAGAACTGCTTAAAGCTCTAATGCTCATGTCAGTGGAGAGAGATCATCTGGAACAGGTCCAGTTTCCAGATGTATTGGAAATTATTTGTCAAAGTTCTTTGCTAACCGTTTCATCAAATATTTAGTTTAAAAGTTTTATGCAGATATTTATTTCTCTGGCTTCTGTATTTTAAAAAAAAGTGTATTATGTCCATACATTGTTCATTTGTTAAAACTGTAGATTTTATTTTTGTTAAACCACATTTTTTGCTATTACAATTAAATTATGTTAAACCACGTTGTATCATTGTCTTGCTTCACAACATCAATATCCGTTATAAAACAATGAAAAGGTGGGCGTGAATGGTGAGCTGATTTGGTGGTGCAAAGAGCCACTTGACTGTATTTGCCCTAGGACTAAGGCTGCCAGCCCTCTCCTGACTGTACACACAAAAACACACACTCTGTTTTCACTGTACACACACTACATCCACTACACAAACATACACTCTGCATTCACTATACACACCTACATTCACTACACACACACTCTGCATCTAATGCTTGCATACAAACATTACACACATTACACAAAAAGTACATTCTACATCCACTATACACACTGCATTCATGACACACATACCACATCCACTACACACATACTACATCCACTATACACACTGCATCCATGACACACATTCTACATCCACTATACACACACTTCATCATTTTGGGCGGACTCGGGGATGGCCCCGGAGGCCCAGATATTGAGCTGTGTCAGGGGCCCTAAAATTTCCGATGGAAGCCCTGCCTATCCCTACCTCTACCCAACCTCCCGTTTTCACTTGTGACGAACTGAACCTCACCACGGATTCTTGGAGGGGCCTGCTTCGCCAGCATCTCTCCTCAGGACTATGGCCCCTGCAATAAACCTTGGCTAATATACTTTAAAAAGGCTTGGTTCATGCAATTTTTGATTATGTGGTTCGGGAACCGAAACAGCTGCAGGAACCAGAGACCACCCATGAACTTGTTAAACCCTATTAACACTTAGTAACGATTCGAACTGCAGTGTTCTAATTGTCTGTTTGGGTGGCTGCTGTTCACATGAATGACCACGAGTTGGCAGCCATCTTGTTTGCATGAATGCAGGCAGCGGTGTTTGGTCGGCGAGTTCCTGGAACTAAAATCGGACATGGAAACTCCCGAACACCGATGAACTTCCATCATCGCCTGCGTTCGGTTCTACACAACTTAGAAGGGCACTGTTCGGTGGAATTGTTCATCTGGATGAGGGGAACAAGCTCCAGGGTAAGACTATTGACTATGTTCGGTAATTTGTTCGGTTTTTAAACTACCAAACTAGACTGACCGCAAACCCTGATTCTCTGGAACAGTTTTGGGCAGGAAAACATTGGCATATACTAAAACATGATGAGGTACTTAATCAAATTATACCCAAACATCCAAACATAGTTTTTAGAGGAACCCCTAATTTTAAATCTATTTTAACTACTAATTTTACTAGGGAATCCATTACTACAATCCCTTCCTTTTTCCCTCAGACCAAAGGCTTTCATAAATGTAAACACTGTATAGTATGCAGAACCACCGATCCCTCTACCCCTTCGAAAATAACTCAATTCACTTCAAATAGGACCAAAAAAGTATATAATATTTATGATTTTATTTGTTGTAATACAAAAAATGTTATTTATCTGCTTGAATGCCCATGTGGCCTCCAATATGTGGGGATGACCACAAGGTGCTTAAAAATAAGACTTAGCGAACATTGCAGAAACATTAAAAATGGATACTTGAACCATACAGTATCCAAACATTTTATCAAACATAATAAAGATCCACATTTACTTAAATGTATTGGTATAAAAAAATGTTCTACCCCTTGGAGGGGGGGGAGATATAAAAAAGATACTCAGAAAAAACGAAATGGAATGGGTGTATAATTTACAGACTCTTATACCCCATGGTCTTAATGCAGACTTCGATCTGCATAATTTTTTTAAGATCATTAAATATTAAGGTATCTCCTATATGGCTTTTATAATGTTCATAACTGCATTATTAACATGTTGATTTATTTCTTGTATTCCATACTACCAAACTATCTATCCATATAAAATGAATTCTTGTATATATTATTTATTATGATAAATGTTGGGATTGCATCCAATGTATGCATGTATTTATTCTATATATATTTTTATATATATATATATATATATATATATATATATATATATATATATATATATATATATATATATATATATATATATATATATATATATATAGTTATTTTATTTTTTATATTTTATTTTACCAATCTAACTATCCATGTAATATGAATTCATGTATATATTATTTATTATTATGATATATATTGGGATAGCATTCAATGTATGCAATTATTTATTGTATATATATATATATATATATATATATATATATATATATATATATATATATATATATATATATATATATACAGTTATTTTATTTTTGTATTTCATTTTATCAAACTAACTATCCATGTAATATGTATTCATGTATATATTAAGATATATGTTGGGATTGCATTTACTGTATTCATACATTTATTTATTGTATATATATATGCTCTCCCTATGTCTATGCCAGCTCCCCCTGCCTGCCCCTTAATGGGCAGTTTATTCCAATTTTTTTCATAGATATTCTCTGATATTTATTCCCTCTGCCACTCCCAATATGGCCACATAAAGCCCTCCACCCTCCACAATATGGCCGCGACCCTGTCATATCGCTGGCTCACGTCCGCAGACACCTCCTATATCGGCCGCATTTAGGAACTACCAAACCCATGCGGCTAAGTCCCGGGAATGTGGAAGTGCCGCGCATCACCTGATTATTTCGATCTTTTCCAGTACGTTTAAAATAACGCTTTCCTACCCTCGTTTTACATTTATTATTATCAGAGTCACCTAATTGTACTTATTGCTATCCTCTATAATTGTGTTTATGTATATTTATACTTGTTATTTCGATTTCAAATCTGATTGGTGGATCAATTTTGGCCCCAATATTTCAATTAATAATAAAGCATCAGTTGCCAGGTATTGTGCTTTATTCCATTTGAAAAAGTCTGTTGACGAAACGCGTTATGGAAATTTTATATTGTGTATTTTTTTAATTAAGATTATTTGGTCATTTGGTTGTGCCAATTATCTTTTTTTTATATACACTTTATTTTTTTTATTTATTTTTTTATTTTACTCCATTTTATTCTATTATTCTGCTTGGTATCATCCATGGAATAGCCTTCCAGATGAAGTGGTAGAGGTTAACACAGTAAAGGAGTTTAAGCATGCGTGGGATAGGCATAAGGCTAGGGACTATAAGATAAGGCTAGGGACTAATGAAAGTATTTAGAAAATTGGGCAGACTAGATGGGCCAAATGGTTCTTATCTGCCGTCACATTCTATATTTCTATGTTTCTATCCTGCATTCATATTATCCTGTACTCCAAGAAATCCTAGGTGGGAATTATACCACCCACGCTGACAACAAAGAGCAGTCAGTCTGCTCTTCCTTTGTGAGTATATTTTTATTTGAATATTGGATACACCACTGACGGAGTGAACCCACCATATATCCCATAAGCTGGGATTATACCGCTGTATGTGCTTCACACCAGAGCTGGATATAGCTCTGTCAAATGTGAGTTCCCTACTATTATTTGAATTCAGTGATTTTATTTGACCTATACATATTGCACTATTGGGCGTTCTTTCTTCTCTTTTTTTTTTTTTAACATATAAGTGGATTATTACACCATTGAAAGACTTTGCCCCGCACAGTACCCCAAGACAACATTGAGGACATCAAGATTGAATTTCTCTGCACATTACTTTAACTATTGTTTCTGGACATTGTTTTATCTAGAAATCAATATTTATTTAGGCGCAGCCCCTGTTTGGATTTTTTATCTCTCTCTGTTCTCAAAAGGGTTTGGAGGGACTCCCTTTTTAAGGGTTGCTGCCTATCTGTTAATTAGCACTGACTCTTCATTCTATTCATTAAACCAGCCAGTTGGCCTGAATAAATTAATTCCTGTGGTACCCTTCATCTAGTTTAGGCTGATGTTTGGATATACATACTTCTGGAGAACGTTCAAATCAACATCCAAACTGCGAGCTATGATAACTCAGCCTTTAGCACTTCGGGGGGAACCGAAAGCGAACAGGTATCTGAAATACCAGCGTTTCTAACATTACCTTTTTACTTTTCTTCCTCTTTTCCCTTTTTTATGTTTCACAATGACACCTCTTTTCCCCTTTTTAGGTTTCACAATGACAAGCTCTTACCTACACACTCTACTTCAAATCACAGCCTGAATTAGGGGAAAGTAAAAAAAAAAAAAAAGGTTTGTGGATCGTTGCTAGCGCATGCTGGATGGCTATAGTATGGGTGACACGTTAGAAATTTGTATACTTTATACTATTCTTGGTAACATGTGAAAACCTTATGTAAAGATTACAGTATACATTTTGAAACATGCTCTACATCATTTATACTTTCCTTTCTATTACTAGATACTAATGGATAAAGATATGGAATTTTTGAAAAATGAAGACGATAAGGCTGTCTGGGAGAATGTTGAATGCAATCGGCATATGCTTAGCCGTTATATTAACCCAGCAAAAATAACACCCTACTTACGACAATGTAAGGTCATTGATGAACAGGATGAAGAAGAAGTACTTAACTCACTTTTATTTATATCAAGAACTACCCGCTCAGGTATGTTGGTGAATAAAATAACATAAGCATTTTAATAAACACATATATGGCAAAAAAAAAAACACTAGTGTAAAAAATTGTAAGTTGATCTTCAAAACACCAGAAAACAAAAAAAATATTGATCTTAAATGTGACTGATACATCTAGTCTTCTTAAATTTGAAAGGCTTAGGGTGGACTAGATATAGTATTTGTTATAAAAACTACAAAAATACAAATCTCTTAAAGTAACAACAGGAACTGCAGGCTTTAAATCATCCTTCTTTCGAACTACATGTGAAATAAGTCAGGGTCGCTGATTGGTCCCCACTTTATTTACTCAATGCATCCTTTTTGCACACATGGTAAGTGTGGATACATTTTTAAATTTTCTGGCATTACCCATGGCAACACTACTAATGAGCAATGCTCAAGCTTACTCAAAACAGAGACTGAGAAAAATAAAACAAAACAACAATAAACTGGTAAGGATAATGTAATAGCTGAATGTGCTGAACATAAAACAAAATAACCAAACTCAGTTACACGTGACAAGAGAACTTTCACTTTGTAGTAATGAATGAATCATTTCTCTGATAACCGTGTTACTGCCTGAAAAATCAGTTCTGGAGAGATACTGGCTACAGCTATCCAAGAGGAATTTCAGTCGCTTGTCGAATGGGCATGAATGCCTTCAGGAACTGAAAGTTTTATGTAGGCTTTAGTTAGCTGCCACTATCCATGCTCATAGACTGCTTCCCCTAGTTTGTCCACCCTGGGTAGCATAAATAGCTTGGAACATTTCCTATAGTCTTTTGTATTGTTAAGGTAGATTCTCAAGAAATGGTGCTGCAAAGAAGGAAGGGATCACAATCTCTTGGTTAATATGAAATTTAATTACCAGTTTAGTTTGGAGTTCAGGCACTGTGTGCAACATCACTTTGTCGGGGGCGGGGCCTGACCGCCAAGATGGAAGGATGTGGAGCACTTCGGCTCCCGGGGGAATCCCCAATAACCAGGCTAAAATTACCCCTTTTCATCTGAAAAATATTAAGCAACTGCCAGAGGGCAAAGGGAAACCTGAGCAGCAACCCTCGGGGCGGATGTCAGCACCCGTCCAGCCGACTGCACCGACTGATGGGTTTGCGGCCTGCTGTGAGGCTCTGGCAGGAGAAACGGACAATCTCCTGTGCTTAGTCCAGTGGGTCCTACCTCACGCCTATTGAGGGCCCATTTCTTCCCCCCGTGGGCTGGTGGGGGTTATCCTGCCCCCACCATGGAAGCAGTGCTCACCAGCAACATTTGAGCAGTGGAAAGACCAGTCTGGGCCCGCATGGCAAAACCAAAATGGCCGCCGCAACTACCACAAGCTGGACAGCAAAGGCTATCACAAAAGAGAAATGGCTATATACCTCCAGGAAGCCGGTGCCGATCTGAACATCGCATGCTGGCAGAGGCCCAAAAACAAACAGCGTACCCCCTCTGTCCACCCCGACCACCGGATATCTCTAAAGGGTGAAAACCCACCAAGCATGTTAAGAGTCATTCCGGCTCATCACCGAGAGCATTCTCACTCCTCTTGAGACCTCACCTCCCATGGTCACTGGCGGGGTTATCAGGACTCTGACCCAGCCTATACTTATGGACACGGGGCACGGGCTCAGCTCTCTGCTGGGGCTGGTGCCAGCAGTCACACAGACACACTCCTAGCTGCTAAGACATCAAGTATGCAAGCAACCAGCACGAGCTACACAGGACCTGATCCTGGCTAGGACACTGGCGGATCCAGTACAACTACAAGGACGACTAAGCGGCTACCTATCACACATGCTCAAGTTTGCAACAGATTACAACTGTATATTCTTTATTTCATAACTTTACCGTTAATTCCATTTTTTGTTAAGTACAGTTGATTTAATTTGTCACAATCCCACTGACAACACTTAACTCTCCTGAGCCTGCATGCATACCCAACCTGGTAGGCCCAGTGCTCCACTGTCCCTAGGTGGTTAAACCATACTACGTAAATGCAAGTTAGCGAGTAACTATACCTACCTCACTGGAGTTTGCTTGAAAGTAGGCTTTTTTTTTTTCCTCTCTTGTTGTTTCCATTCCCCTCCTTGTGGGTGCTGCTGCTGAGCTAATTAGGGGGAGTGCCCCTTAATTTCCACCTGTGTGGGATTTGTATTGCCAATATAAACCCACTACTGACTCACAGAGCTTGCTCACTGGAGTTTGCTTGAATGTAGGTTCTTTAAAGTAGGAGTTAAAACAACAGGAGTTTATTGGTGAACTGGTGGACTGTGGTTGGTATTAGTTAATACCAAGTGGGAAAAAAAGCAGGTTTAAATTTTTTTATATTTTTATATTTTTTATATTTTTTTGTATTTTGTGGGTTTTTTTTTTACGTTTACCCTTTTAAAAAAAAAAAAATTCTCCTTACTGTTTTGATTTATTTTAATATTTTGTAACTTTTTTCCCCTTTTCATATATATATATATATATATATATATATTTATTTATTTTTTCTCTTTGCTGGATATATTTAAACTTTGTCCCTTTTTTTCTTCTATATTTTCACCTTGCTGGTGTTATTGAAAACGTTTTCCCTCCCTCCCTTTTTTTCCCCCCTCTCTTGTTGTTTCTATTCCCCTCCTTGTGGGTGCTGCTGCTGAGCTAATTAGGGGGAGTGCCCCTTAATTTCCACCTGTGTGGGATTTGTATTGCCAATATAAACCCACTACTGTCTCACATAGCTTGCTCACTGGAGTTTGCTTGAAAGTAGGCTATTTCAAGTAGTCTCTTTTAAGTAGGAGTTAAAACAACAGGAGTTGAAACCTACAAGGGAGTTTAAACCAAGAGGGTAAATATTCTTTTTGCTCACTTGTGTTTTTTGGTAACTGGAGATGAGTGCTAGCAAGATTGTGAGTTTAACTCAGTGCACATCATGCCACATGTATGCATGCCTGGATGTTTCTATCCAGGGTCCATACCTCTGTGGTGGGTGTGAGCGAGTGGCATTTCTGGAAGCTCAGATTAGAGATCTGGAGAGGCAAATTGTAACACTGAGGGAGATTGACAATCTTGAGAGGAGTCTGCTGCTCACTGAGCAGAGTTTAGTGGGGACAGGTAGTGGAGAGGGAGGAGATAAGACAGATGGGGAACAGGCACGTAGCTGGATGACAGTGGGGCGAGGAAGCAGGGAGGGAGGGAAGTGAAAAGGTTTAGCTAGTCCTGATCTCATGCAGCCTAACAGATTTGCCCGTTTGAGTGAAGATGTTGGAAACATCAGCTCAGGAGTAGCTGTACTGCAGGAAGTTGTTCCTGCTAACAGCCGTGGAAACAGCCCCTCTAGTACGGGTGGGGTTGAGAAGGTAAGGAAGTCTAGACAGGTTGTGGTGGTAGACTCTATTATTAAGAGAGTAGATAGGGTAATCTGCCACTCTGATCGACTCAACCGGACAGTTTTCTGTCTCCCTCCAAGGTAATTTTTTCAGAAATATTACCTGTGCCGCGCGCTACAGCAGAAAGGCAGCGGGAGATTAGAGTGGTCAATGTGTGGCTAAAGTCTTGGTGCAGGAAAGAGGGTTTGGGGTTTTTAGAGCACTAGGCTGATTTTGCGCTTGGGTACAACCTGTATAGTCATGATGGATTGCACCTAAACGGAAGAGGGTCTGCTGTGCTGGGGGATAGGATGGCTAGAAGGTTGGAGGAGATTTTAAACTAGTGGTGGGGGGGAGGGTCAAAGCAATCTAGAAAATGGAGATAGGATGGAAAGGAGATGGGCTTTAGCTCAGAACAAAGGGGGTGGAGATGGGGGGAGGGGAAAGCTCAGAACAGAGGAGGTATGTAATATTGATAATTCACAAAAAGTACAAAAGACTCATGATAATATTAAATGTATGCTTACTAATGCAAGGAGCCTATATAACAAAATGGGGGAACTAGAGGCAATAGCATACACTAAACAATATGATATAATAGGCATAACAGAAACATGGTGGGATGAGACACATGACTGGGCAGTTAATTTAAATGGGTACACGTTATTTAGGAAGGATAGGAAAAACAAGAAGGGTGGTGGGGTATGTTTATATGTCAACCATGAGTTAAAGTCAAATCTTAGGCATGTGGAGTGTGACGAGGAAAAGGTGGAGGCTTTATGGGTAGATATCTGCTTGGGGCAAACAAATGGAAATCAATTATTGGCTAGGATATGTTATAAACCACCTAATGTAAATATTATTGAGGAAGAACAGCTGTTAGAGCAAATCGAGAAAGCTGCAAATCAAGGTAACACGTTCATTATTGGAGATTTTAATTATCCAGACATAAATTGGGAAAGAGGGACTAGTACTTCAGCAAGGGGCATCAGGTTTTTGAATGTGTTAAATGACACCTTTATGTCACAACTGGTACAAGCACCAACTAGAAAGGATGCTTGTCTGGATCTTGTCATAACAAACAATGTTGATCTTTTAACCAACATTCAAGTAGGGGAGCATTTGGGAAATAGTGATCACAATATGGTAAATTTTGACATAAACTCAAAAAAGCAAAAGCAAGTGGAGTATACTAAAACATATAATTTAAAAAAAGCCAATTTCAATAAGATTAGGGTAGCTCTACAACATATCGACTGGCATAAACTCCTTTGTGATAAAAACACTGAGGATAAATGGAAATTATTCAAACAAATATTAGAAAGGTACATTTCTCAGTATGTACCATTGGGTAATAAATATAAAAGAAACAAATTAAAACCAATGTGGCTTAGTAGAGAAGTAAAACAAGAGATTAAAAATAAGAAAAGGGCATATAAAGCATTTAAATCAGACAAATCAAAGGCATCCTATTTAAGATATAAGAAAGCCAATAACGCTTGCAAAAAGGCAATTAAAGTGGCTAAACTAGAAAATGAGAAATTGATAGCTAAAGAATGCAAAACCATCCCCCAAATTTATTTTTAAGTACATCAATTCTAAGAAAACAAAAAATGAAAGTGTAGGTACACTTGAAACA